ATACAATATATACAACATATCATACAACATATCATACAACATATCATACAACATATCATACAACATATCATACAACATATCATACAACATATCATACAATATATACAACATATCATACAACATATCATACAACATATCATACAACATATCATACAATATATCATACAACATATCATACAACATATCATACAACATATCATACAATATATCATACAACATATCATACAACATATCATACAACATATCATACAACATATCATACAACATATCATACAACATATCATACAATATATACAACATATCATACAACATAGCATACAACATATCATACAACATATCATACAACATATCATACAATATATACAACATATCATACAACATATCATACAACATATCATACAATATATCATACAACATATCATACAACATATCATACAACATATCATACAACATATCATACAACATATCATACAACATATCATACAACATATCATACAACATATCATACAACATATCATACAACATATCATACAACATATCATACAACATATCATACAATATATACAACATATCATACAACATATCATACAACATATCATACAACATATCATACAACATATCATACAACATATCATACAACATATCATACAACATATCATACAACATATCATACAACATATCATACAACATATCATACAATATATCATACAACATATCATACAACATATCATACAACATATCATACAACATATCATACAACATATCATACAACATATCATACAACATATACAACATATCATACAACATATCATACAACATATCTATGAAACCTTACAACAAGGTTTTAACAATTTTTTTTTTAATTGACACATTTAGAAATATTTGAACCGCTAAGAACTTAGTCTACAACACACAAACAATTCAACAAACACACAAACTAACCAACTATAGGACTTTGAATACTACATCAAAGCATATAAAAACAAGAAAATGTCTGACTGAAAAAAAAAATGTGGTTGAAATGATTTTCCTTTGTTTGTTTAAGTTTTTGACATGAATGCGAATGAAATGGTGAATAAGATTTCCTAATGGGGGCTGATGATAGACATTACGTCATCAACTGTCACGTGATGATCGACATTACGTCATCAACTGTCACGTGATCCGGCCGTCAGTCACGCGTGTGGCCCGCGGGCGGGGCGAGCAAGTTATGATTCAATTATCCCCCCTGACCTGTGGCCCTACTCGGCGCGGGGCGGCTGGAGCCACAACCCCGTGCGGTGCATGCCCTGCCCGATTGTAGGAAAAAAAGTCACAGGAAAAAAAAAACACAGGAAAAAAAAACACAGAAAAAAAGTCACAGGAAAAAAAGTCACAGGAAAAAAAGTCACAGGAAAAAAAGTCACAAATATATATTTGCATGATACTTGTTAATACTTTTATGTATTAAATATTCAGAGAGTGCAAATTAACTTAGGATTAATTAAATGTAATGTAATGTGTGTAGGCTGTATACGCATAGGAATTTTTATAATTCATCTAAAAATATTTAGTATGAAGTATGTAGATTGTAATTATTTTAAACTTAAGATGAGTAGCGTTTAATAGAATGCTCCAAAGTCCACGGTTTTAATCCTGTTTTTTTTTTAAATACCAACATTAAATTACCGTGAAATGGTAAGTTCGTCTGACTTTCTGCCCTCAACTCATGGCCACAATAGTTATGTTTAGATGTTTAGTTCAACCACCTTTACTGCCCACATTTAGCACGCTCATTACATAACAACACTTAGGATAAAAAAGAAAGCCGACAAGGTTCAAATGCTGTCATTGACGCATGACGTCAACAATACAAAATATGTTCGGACAATGCCTACTGAGGAGAGGCCGACCAGAGAATAGCCTACGGCAAAATGTGCCTAAATTTTTTTTATAGTTAAATTTTCTACCGCGTTTTTAACTAAATACGTAACAAAAGTTGAGATTGTTGTGTAAATTATATTAGAGTATTTTTACTTACAATTGTTATAAACCATAATGCTTTTAACGTCTATAAATAATTTATGCTATAAAAAAATACAAACCACAACAAGAAACATACAAAATTTTACAATTCTAAACAAATAAAAAAAATATTTCTAAAAATATTTTTGTGACTTTTTTTCTGTGACTTTATTTCTGTGACTTTTTTTCCAAAAATTTTTTTCCACTGTGACTTTTTTTCTGTGACTTTTTTTCCTAGCAAAAACTGTGACTTTTTTTCTGTGTTTTTTTTTCCTGTGACTTTTTTTCCGTTTACCCCCTGCCCCCCCCCCCCCCCCCCCTCCCCTTGCGTGACGTCGATGCCATCGAGTAATTACCGGCCCTGGCAGCGATCTGTTACGGCCCAGACTTGGATCAATCGTCCTAGGCTTGCCGGCCATCTTGTTGGCCCACCCGTGGCTTGCCGGCCATCTTGTTGGCCCACCCGTGGCTTGTCGGCCATCTTGTTGGCCCACCCGTGGCTTGCCGGCCATCTTGTTGGCCCACCCGTCGCTTGCTGGCCATTTTGTTGGCCCACCCGTCGCTTGCTGGCCATTTTGTTTGACGGCCAAAAAATACAAACCTCTCACACCCAACCTACACACATCACACACCAAACTCACAAACCTACAAGCCTCCACACCAAACCTACGAACCTCACACACCAAACCTACACACCCTCCCCACAATTCCTGTACAGCTCTGCTCAGTGTGAGTGGGTTTGTTGTATTTCTAGTGCCTATTTATTTGTAAATTGATTGATGTTCCTCTACTTATTATTTACCTACCCCTCCCTACGCCCCCACCCACCCCTCCCTACACCCCCACCCACCCCTCCCCCAACTTTTCCCACCACGACATATCACCTAAGAGGAGCCCTCATTTGGCCGGAGTCAAAGACTTGAATAATTCAGTAAGCTGGTCAAATTGACTCGGTCAAATTGACTTGGTCCAATCGACTTGGTGTAAGTTCGCTTGTTAAAGGCTTCCATCCATTCGATATCATAGAAGAGATTTTTTAATGGCTGTCTACTTCAAATGTTGTCATTCAATGGCTACCGTCTGCAAATGTCATTCAATGGCTACCGTCTCCAAATGTCATTCAATGGCTACCGTCTCCAAATGTCATTCAATGGCTACCGTCTCCAAATGTCATTCAATGGCTACCGTCTCCAAATGTCATTCAATGGCTACCGTCTCAAAATGTTGCCCTAAGTTTAAAATGAGTGGATCGCGTTTGCCGTATCCTACACACACACACACACACACACACACACACACACATACACACACACACACATACACACACATTATTGAACTTCTCCAATTAGTTCGGCCATTTAGTCAAGTCGCTGCTTGTTTTCTTAATTGTGGCTCGGCTAATTAATGAGCCAGGCTTTATGTTGTGGAGTATTAGCGTCATCCCCCCCCCCCACCCAGGACCATGGAGTATTAGCGTCATCCCCCCCCCCCCCACCCAGGGCCATGGAGTATTAGCGTCATCCCCCCACCTAGGACCATTGTTGCGACACAACTACCACCCCCATCCCACCTCTATAGTTCAATATTAAAGACTACCCTACCCCTCTAGCGGCATATTAACATCCCCCCCCCCTTGTAACGCTGTAATGACGTACAATAATTACGCCCCAAGAAATCTCTGATTCTCAGCGCGGCGGACAGAGAAAATTGAAAATAAAAAAAGCGATCCCAAAGCCAACAAATTCTCCATTTCACTCTCCGAGCGGGCGGCCATTCACCGCTTTATCCTGGGCTCGTCTTCTAGCGCGGCTAAGCACGGGCTGGTCCCGTTCTCCTGCCGCCACCGATTATTTATTTCGGCAAACCGACAAATAATTGAACCCCGGGCCAAGAATCGATCGCTCTAAACGCCGTCAGTTGACGAGGTTGGATGTACCCAGTGGCCCAAACTTGCCGGTCTGATCCGAGTTTGCCGGCAAGATCAAAGTTTGCCGGTCTGATCAAACTTTGCCGGTCTGACCAAACTCTGCCGGTCTCATCAAACTTGCTGGTCTGATCAAACTTTGTCGGCATGATCAAAGTTTGCCGGTCTGACCAAACTTTGCCGGCAAGATTTTCCGGTCTGTTATCACGAGTCACAGAGCGCATTGTCACCAGTAACATCTGAGTTTCGCTAGAACATTTGATTGTTTCCCCTGATAGAGCTAGAACATTTGATTGTTTCCCCTGATAACATCACACAAAACATGTTCATTAATTCTTTTTTAAATCGTCCAAGTTATAAATAACTTATTTATTGTTGAAAGAAATGGATCGATTATATTCTTATCGCAAACAGGCAAATAATGACACACATACACCACACAACTCCACACATACTCCACACATACACCACACAGACACCACACAACTCCACACATACACCACACATAGCCTACACCACACAACTCCACACACACACACCACACAACTCCACACATACTCCATACATACACCACACAGACACCACACATACACCACACACACACCACACATACTCCACACAGACACCACACACACACCACACACACAGCACCCACCCAACCCACAAGGGCAAGTCTACCCAAGCTTTAAATAAACCTGGATCCTCGCCAAACTTCACCCCCCCCCCCCCCCCTCAATAAAAACTCCCTGATTTATCATCTCCTACTTTCACAAGCTGGCTGGCAGCATCAAAACTTCCCATAAGCCCCGGACTACCGGAAATAGAAGAAAACATTTATTATCGCCCTTGGCGCTTCTCAGGAACCGGAAATACTCGAGTAATTCTGGTATCTACAGGGGCTGGTGTTCGAGCCTTACGGACACCACACAGACACCATACAAACACCGTACAAACACCATACAGATACCATACAAACACCATACAAACACCATACAAACACCATACAAACACCGTACAAACACCATACAAACACCATGCGGACATCTATTACCAAACATGTCATCTGTTTCAGGCGCCATCTTTGACACGAAGGACACCGACTCCCAGCGTGCCTTTGAGAAGGCCTTGACCCAGCATAGGAACAGCTCGAGCAGACCTTTCAAGGTCAACCTCCGTATGGAGAAGGTCGACACGACGAGCAACTTCCAAGTCGCCAGTGCAAGTAGGTGGCAGTTAGTGTCATGTCAGTGTCATGTCATTTAGTGTCATGTCAGTGTCATGTCAGTTAGTGTCATGTCAGTGACATGTCAGTTAGTGTCATGTCAGTGTCATGTCAGTGTCATGTCAGTTAGTGTCATGTCAGTGGCATGTCAGTTAGTGTCATGTCAGTGTCATGTCAGTGGCATGTCAGTGTCATGTCAGTTATTGTCATGTCAGTTTATGCCATGTCAGTTAGCGTAATGTCAGTTAGTGCCATGTCAGTGTCATGTCAGTTTGTATCATGTCAGTTAGTGTCATGTCCACTAATGGTAGAAGGTCACACTAATGGTAGAAGGTCACACTAATGATGGAAGGTCACACTAATGGTAGAAGGTCACTCTAATGTAGGAAGGTCACTTTAATGACTTTATTTTGAGTCAATGTCTTTTCGTCACTGTCGTAGAGCCACTTTCTGACGTCACTAACTTCACCAAGTTGGCTGTTTGACGTCACTGTTTGACGTCAATGTCCAGTGTGACGTCACTGCTTGACGCCAATGTCCAGTGTGTCGTTGCATCTTGCCTTCCTGCCATCTGCCATCCCCAACCAAATAATGCCCACCAAGAGTTATCGATTCCTCTAGCCTCCCCTTGTCTGCAAAAGTTGCTCAACGTTTCGCGTCAGTTTTCTCTTTGAAACAAAAAACGGTTCATAATATCATTCGACTTTTTTCCTCTTAATGTCTGAAATGAAATTTAAACCCAGCCTAGAAAATGTTGTTGCTGGACAAAAGATCGTGTTAATCCCCACGAACTAAATCTCGTTTAATGGGATCTGGGGAGGCTTTTACATTAGGCGATTACAGCAGTCTTAGAGGGGGGGGGGGGGGGGGGGAGAACTATCTAAGTCACACTGTCTCAGTCATATGTTTCAGTCATGCTGTCTGACTGAGTCAGCCCTTCTAATGTTATCCCCCCCTCCCCACCATGGGCTGGTCTAAAGACTCGACTGTCTCTCTAATGAGGTCACTAATAGGCCCCAAAAGGATAGCTTCTAAAGCTGGCTAGTGGTGGGGGGGGGAAGGGGGAGGGTCATTAGACCGGACACCGCAGGCTTTAAGTAGGAGTGGACATAGCTGGTCACTGATGGTTACTGCTGGTCAATGATGGTCAATGATGGTCACTGATGGTATTGATGGTCAAAAATGGTCAATGATGGTCAATGATGGTCAATGATGGTCAATGATGGTCAATGATGGTCAATGATGGTCAATGATGGTCAATGATGGTCAATGATGGTCAATGATGGTCAATGATGGTCAATGATGGTCAATGATGGTCAATGATGGTCACTGATGGTCACTGATGGTCAATGATGGTCAATAATGGTCAATGGTGGTCAATGATGGTCAATGATGGTCAATGATGGTCAATGATGGTCACGCTTTACCATCTGTGATATGGATAAGAGAGAGCTGTGTATCTGACAGACACTGGCACCATTCACACAGACACTGGCACCATTCACACAGAGACTGGCACCATTCACACAGACACTGGCACCATTCACACAGACACTGGCACCATTCACACACACACTGGCACCATTCACACAGAGACTGGCACCATTCACACAGAGACTGGCACCATTCACACAGACACTGGCACCATTCACACACACACTGGCACCATTCACACAGACACTGGCACCATTCACACAGACACTGGCACCATTCACACAGAGACTGGCACCATTCACACATACACTGGCACCATTCACACAGAGACTGGCACCATTCACACAGAGACTGGCACCATTCACACAGAGACTGGCACCATTCACACAGACACTGGCACCATTCACACAGACACTGGCACCATTCACACACACACTGGCACCATTCACACAGACACTGGCACCATTCACACAGAGACTGGCACCATTCACACAGAGACTGGCACCATTCACACATACACTGGCACCATTCACACAGAGACTGGCACCATTCACACAGAGACTGGCACCATTCACACAGACACTGGCACCATTCACACAGATACTGGCACCATTCACACATACACGTCCTCATGAGCATCCTTTGGCATACACACACACACACATAGTATCCACCCCATAAAATCCCACCCCATAAAATCCCACCCCATAAAATCCCACCCCATAAAATCCCACCCCATAAAATCCCACCCCAGCAACCACCCCCTAAGAACCCCAACCCAGCCCCCATCGCGAAAAACCATTTTACGCCACTGATAATCTTCTACTGGGGAAGGGAAATGAGGGCCCCTTGTAATGAGGGCCCCTTGTAATCTCGACTTAAAATCACGGCTAGGCCGCCTAAATAGAGACAAACCTACTTATTTCTACTCGAGTGTTGCTTAGAGGAAATCATTGTAGTCAATTGCTCCTAAAGATTGGTCTTTTCTTCGTCTGGTCATTTGTCTAAAACAGGCGTCACAACCTGCTGTAGTGTGGAGTCACAACCTGCTGTAGTGTGGAGTCACAACCTGCTGTAATGTAAGACAGGAGTCACAACCTGCTGTAGTGTGGAGTCACAACCTGCTGTAGTGTAAGACAGGAGTCACAACCTGCTGTAGTGTGGAGTCACAACCTGATGTAGTGTGGAGTCACAACCTGCTGTAGTGTGGAGTCACAACCTGCTGTAGTGTGGAGTCACAACCTGCTGTAGTGTAAGACAGGAGTCACAACCTGCTGTAGTGTGGAGTCACAACCTGCTGTAGTGTAACACAGGAGTCACAACCTGCTGTAGTGTGGAGTCACAACCTGCCGTAGTGTGGAGTCACAACCTGCTGTAGTGTAAGACAGGAGTCACAACCTGCTGTAGTGTGGAGTCACAACCTGCTGTAGTGTAAGACAGGAGTCACAACCTGCTGTAGTGTGGAGTCACAACCTGATGTAGTGTGGAGTCACAACCTGCTGTAGTGTGGAGTCACAACCTGCTGTAGTGTGGAGTCACAACCTGCTGTAGTGTGGAGTCACAACCTGCTGTAGTGTAACACAGGAGTCACAACCTGCTGTAGTGTAAGACAGGAGTCACAACCTGCTGTAGTGTAAGACAGGAGTCACAACCTGCTGTAGTGTGGAGTCACAACCTGATGTAGTGTGGAGTCACAACCTGCTGTAGTGTGGAGTCACAACCTGCTGTAGTGTGGAGTCACAACCTGCTGTAGTGTGGAGTCACAACCTGCTGTAGTGTAACACAGGAGTCACAACCTGCTGTAGTGTAAGACAGGAGTCACAACCTGCTGTAGTGTAAGACAGGAGTCACAACCTGCTGTAGTGTGGAGTCACAACCTGCTGTAGTGTGGAGTCACAACCTGCTGTAGTGTGGAGTCACAACCTGATGTAGTGTGGAGTCACAACCTGCTGTAGTGTAACACAGGAGTCACAACCTGCACATGTGACATTCATACGATGTTCATATGATGTTGTTGATGTGTGAGAAATCTACAGTTACCTCCACACCCTGAGGTCAATGCCTGCGGTCGGTAATTAAGAGACTAATTTCAATTGATCGCATTAAATGATTGGTCCCGCCAGACTTCAGGCGTTGTTCTAAGTCTGATAAATGTGGGCTCATGGTGGGGCTGTGGTCCTCTCACTTTGTGGTCCTCTCACTTTGTGGTCCTCTCACTTTGTGGTCCTCTCACTTTGTGGTCCTCTCTCTTTGTGGTCCTCTCTCTGTCTGGTCCTGTCCTCTATCTGTGTGGTCCTCTATCTGTGTGGTCCTCTATCTGTGTGGTCCTCTATCTGTGTGGTCTTCTATCTGTGTGGTCCTCTATCTGTGTGGACCTCTATCTTTGTGGTCCTCTATCTTTGTGGTCCTCTATTTGTGTAGTCCTCTATCTGTGTGGTCCTCTATCTGTGTGGTCCTCTATCTGTGTGGTCCTCTATCTGTGTGGTCCTCTATCTATGTGGTCCTCTATCTGTGTGGTCCTCTATCTGCGTGATCCTCTATCTGTGTGGTCCTCTATCTGTGTGGTCCTCTCTCTCTGTGTGGTCCTCTCTCTCTATGTGGTCCTCTATCTGTGTGGTCCTCTATCTGTGTGGTCCTTTATCTGTGTGGTCCTCTATCTGTGTGGTCCTCTATCTGTGTGGTCCTCTATCTATGTGGTCCTCTATCTGTGTGGTCCTCTATCTGTGTGGTCCTCTATCTGTGTGGTCCTCTATCTGTGTGGTCCTCTATCTGTGTGGTCCTCTATCTGTGTGGACTCTATCTGTGTGGTCCTCTATCTGTGTGGTCCTCTATCTGTGTGGTCCTCTATCTGTGTGGTCCTCTATCTGTGTGGTCCTCTATCTGTGTGGTCCTCTATCTGTGTGGTCCTCTATCTGTGTGGTCCTCTATCTGTGTGGTCCTCTATCTGTGTGGACCTCTGTCTCTTCACCAAGTGACGTAGCCAACATCATGACTCGAAGTTTGATCTATCAGACAATAGCGGACAATATTTACAGACCAGGAAATAGGCGTTTGTTTACTATCGATTACTGCTGTTAAAGCACGCCTACCCACCCCGCCCTCCACTCCCCCTCCGCTCCCCCTCCACCCCCTCCCCCTCCACCCGCTCCCCCTCCACCGGGTCCACCTCTAACAGTCCAGCTGTATGTTAGTGTCAGACTCAGATGTCTTGTTAGGATGTGTCTGTGTCTTGATGTGTCTGTGTCTCAGTTTGTCTGTCTTGATGTGTCTGTGTCTTGATGTGTCTGTGTCTTGATGTGTCTGTGTCTCAGTGTGTCTGTCTTAATGTGTCTGTTTCTCAGTGTGTCTGTGTTAATGTGTCTGTTTCTTGATGTGTCTGTGTCTCAGTGTGTCTGTGTCTCACTGTGTCTGTCTTGATTTGTCTGTGTCTCAGTGTGTCTGTCTTGATGTGTCTGTGTCTCACTTTGTCTGTCTTGATGTGACTGTGTCTTGATGTTTCTGTCTTGATGTGTCTCTTACCATTATGTAAGTTGGGCTATGTTAAAATGTATGTAGCCTGGATAAAG